TTTAAGATCAAGAGTGGAAAAAATTTAAAAAAGACCTAAAAGTATGCCCCCAAAAATTTCTTTACCTCTACAAGTTTTGAATATTTCCCCAGTAACATTGAGGCTAATGTCTCCAGTAGTTCTAGTCATGGTGGCAGTTTTCATGTAAATGTAACAAATGACTCAAAAAAAGCAAATATATATTCTCCAGAGATCAGATTCTGTCAGTCCAAGTTTCCCACCCCCATTATATACCCCCTCCTGTGTGTTGACTTAGAGTCAGTAGCACTGCTAGTAATGAAATACTCCCCTCATAGTGTGACACCCTAATTACTGTAAAAACAATACCAACTGTCCATGGGAATTTTTTCCTTTGAATTGTATTTGTTTAGCACTCTTGTTTATTTAGCAGATCTGTTTAATTGGGGCATATTAAAGTCTTTCTCAGGTTTTTTAACAGAGAGTATTTGTAAAACTTATGTACTTTGAGACAGATAAGCTGGTAAATTAGGAGACATACTTCTTATACTTTTGAGATTAAAATTCTAATCTTGAACTTTTATTTTGAAAAAAAAACCACATTCCTAGAAAATTATCTATGTAATAACCTGTTGACGTTAATCTATTTCCTTAACAAAAGTGAAATTTTAAAAGTCTTGAGAGTTTTTTTTTAAAAATTAATTTCTTAAACTAATTCTAATGACAGGTTTGTAGCTAAGAAATATATTTCCAAAAAGTGTCCAATATCATTGTAATCTCAATACTTACTAAGAGGAGTAGTTGCTTGAACCATGTTTAAATATTTCTATAGATATAACTTCTCAATCATTGATGTTACTTGTATAGCTTGAATTCAATTTCTGATAATCAACAAAATACTTTTTACTGATATATAAACATATTTTTTTCCATTTCACTTGATTTTAACACATTAAAACCACTTCCCTCTTTTCCACTTGCTAATTAAAACAAGGAAGGCATGTGACATGTGCCCTTACACCTGATTTCACACCTGTGCACACCTTTTTACACCTTTGCATATTCATTTCTCAGGGACTGAAATAACATGTGGAACCACTATTCAACAGATTGTCCTGTAAGTTTCAAAGAGTGGAAAATCAGGTGATGTGTACCTGCAGGGAAAATTGTGACATGCCAAAGACAAGGTTCTGGAAATAATTGACCATTAAAAATTTAAATATTCTTTCAAGTTTAGTCTGAATTAATAATGAATCCATTAAGAAATTCAAAGTTTTCTTTGAAGTTAAGATGTTTGATTTAACTTTTTAAATAAGAAAAAAGAATGATTAATTGATTTAGATGTATAATACTTTACATTACAAGTATTAAAGATTTATCTAAATCATAAATGATACATGTAAGTCTTTTTTCCCCATTCTTATTAATTTAGAGTATTTTGCCTTATTAAATGCATGAACATGATGAAGGCCAAAACTTCAAAGTTTTCAGTCATTTTCACTGGAAATGCATTTAATTAAATCAAAACAATAAGAGTCTTCAGTACTGCATCTACTATACAATAAGATATGAAGAGTTCCTCAACCTTTTTTGAATGCAATTCTAAAGTTGTGAAAGATTGAGGTATGTCTGATATTTTCATTATTTTGCATTACATCTAATAATTAATTGGCAATGCATTATCTTTTGACAAAAAAAAAAAATTAAATTAAAATCAAGAGCAATATCTACAATGTTTCATATTTAAATTACAAGTAAAACTCTTTACACATTTGGTTTGGATATTTGAAAATTCCCATGATAATTAAAATACATGCATCATTTTGAAATTCTTAAGAACTTTAAGTGTTTAAAGATAGATAATTGATGTGACATTCTTATTTATAATTTTTATATAGAAACATAGATTAAATATAATGTAAATATACATTTGTAAATATTTGTGTTATAAAAGCATAGGCACTTATTTCCATGTATTTCAGAAATAAATTTTTAACCCATACAGCATAGTAAGTGCTATTATCGGTATTATATACTATGGGCTAAAAATATACATCTGAAAACAACTGCCTGTGTTATACTGTATTAAAAGTTAAAAATAACTTCATCATTTTTTTTTTTTTATTGAACTATGGATTATTTCATTAAAAGTCGGCCTGTCAAGGAAATTTATTTTACTGTCATACTGAACAATGCAAATTGAAAATGATTAAATTATTCAAACACCAATACTAATGTTTTAAATTTTCAAAAACAAGTACTCATATGAAAACCATCTTTCTTGTAAGCAAACTTTTCAAAGGATGTCAAAATTTAAAGCAACACTTGACAAAATGAGGTTGTTGACTGTCAGAAACATTGCAGTCATTTTGAACACATAAATAGATAATTTTAATAGCAATACTTCAACTTTCATATTGTTTAGTTATCTGTTTTACATTTTTGCAAAAAAAAAAAAATCCCTATATCACTACTGCCTACCTTTTGTATTGGAACCGCGAATTTAGGACACTTCCTGGACAAACTTTTATGAAGTGTTTAGGGCTAACTTCATTTTCAATTAAACTGCAAAGTTCCCACATATTAAGTTGTTGCATTATCTCAACATTTTTTTTAGTGTTTTTATGTTGATAGTAAAACATTTTCCTTTAAACACTTTTCTGCCAGCATGGCAAGTTTTTCATTCTAAACCTAAATCACATCAGGGATATCCAGACATCATAACCTCTTCCTTTTCTGTGGCTAATACAGGAATCTGAAAGGGAAGGGTGGTAGTTGGAGTCGGGGGGGGGGGTGGGTCTCTTTGGATTAGGGGTAGGAGCCAACAACCACACCAACAAATTGATTTATTAAATTGCCTGTCATTGAAATGCCCCCTTAAAAAAATTTTATTGACCAAAAGGAAAGATTTAATCAATTTTTTCACCCATTACATATTGTATCACATGCACCATACAAAACACTGAAATATAGTGTCAGATCTATGTAAAATTAGGCTTCCTGTGTGGAAACCGGCAATTCCAAACAAATGATTTTTTAAGGATGGCCCAGGCCACAACCACACCTGACACCAAATGAATTGATTTATTAAATCATTCAATTTTATCTGCTGTGGATAAATCTTTTCAGTATAAAATTCAAACAGTCTTAGCTATGTAAAAGCTTATATATATTTTTCTGAAATTCACGAACAATATGCCACGCAATGACGAACCCTGTCGATCGAACAGGTGTCCGTTTGTTTATATTACAGATCAAGCGTTAACGAATTTCATACTTCAAATCAAACAGATTGTTCAAAGTGTGAAGGATTTACCTATGTTAATTTTAGATGCCCTGAGAGGAATTGATCGTTGGAAACTGTTATAAGAAACAGGACTGTCCAGCAGGCTATCCTCTCGCATCGCCATGTTTTTTGTTTTCGAATTTCGAGCCTCTAACAATCCCATACTGCACCACTGCTTCCGTAAACAATTGCACGTGTTCCTGGGACGACATATTTTGACACGACACACATATGGGCTCGGTATTTTGTTAATTACATGTCTGCTTTTGAATAAAATTATAATGATAAAAATTATTTAAAGTTCGGCGATTCAATTTTAAAAACATACAACACAGCTTCCTAGCTCTGTTCCTTTCTGAAAAAGATATGCCTAAAAAAAATAGAAAAAAGAGAACTGCTAATTTCAGCGACTTTCGATATTTTGGCCTGAATTTATCGAAAGACGTAGGAAAACACATATCCTGAATCCAAACCCTCAAGCACCAGTAGCACTGTGCCACATATGAGTAAATTTACCCTTTCTTTAATTGAAAAACTTTTAAGTACATGCGCGGATTTAGTGGGGGGGTCGGGAGGACCCCCCCCCCCGGAATTTACCCGGTTAAAAATGTATATACAACTGTACTAAAACAAGAAAAAAGTTACCATGGAGTTCCCCCCCCCCTGGAAAACGCTGACCCCCCTGGTAAACGCGAATATGTATGAAATGGGTATGAAAAGTGAAAGATTTGAGGCAATAGAAATCACCACTACCCCCCCCCCCCCCACCCACGAAATAGGTTTTTGACGTCTGGGATTGGATTTTTTTTTTGACTAGGGTGGACCCCCCCTGGAAAAAATTTCTGGATCCGCGCCTGAAGTACATGGCAATTAAAAAAAAGCCTTGACTTTAATTCATCATTGCTCCAGGGATGGTTGAATATGAAGTTAAAAAGTTTCAATTTTATGCTGTTGATTTTTGCGATCTCAAATTTTCTAAAAGTTCCTTAATTGAAATTTTTAAGTATTCAAGTCTAATTTACAACAATTCTCAAATTACAGTAGTCAAAAAGTTTTCTGAAAGAAGTTTGTGTTGAAAAATTGGCCTCTACCTACCCCCCCCCCTCCCCCCTCCTTCCGTGAAATAGGATTTTCGATTCCTTAGATCAGAGACATAAATATTTATTTATGTCTCTGCTTAGATTGTTAAAATTTTGGTGCGGTGTAAAGAAAGAGGCTGGTATGGAATATTTACTGGAACCCTCTATGTATCTTTGTAAGGATTTTTATGAAGTTTTGAAATCCATTATAAATTTATATAGATATGGTTATTTTACTTTATGTGGTTGCTGGGAATAATAAAAAGATTCAAAACTGAAGTATGATTGAAAAATTTCCTCTTGAGAAAGGAAGCTATGGGTATAAACAGGGACCTATACTAGGTATAAGTACTAAGTTAGTATATCATGTATATAGTTTTGGGGTTTTTTGTCAAGAAATTTCAGGGTTGGATTTTTGTCTTTAAATTATTATAACTAGGGTGTTCCCCCTCCCCCGGGAAAAAAAAAGATTCTAGATCTATTTATGATTGAGCAGAGATGTATCAATCTACCTAGAAATAATAAATTATTGAACAAGGTAAACACAAACCACAAAAACCTGATACACATTTAATGTAAAATGTTTTCTTTATGTCATTCATGAAGTTAAATCTGGCGCCAAATGACAGTAAATGTTCGGGTGTTCTCGGAGCTTTACGGAAATATTTCGTCACTTCCGTAAACATTGCAAGTATTGAGTCATGGACATAATCATGGCTTAGCGTCACCTTAAATCGAGGATTCTAGAAAGGTATTTTGGCAAGCAGACACCATAAAGATAGTTAAAAAGTATTCAGAGTGACTGCTAGAAACAAACTGTTCGATACTGACCGATCTTACGCTCAAAATTGAATCACTGGTTTGACATTGAAACCCGAGCGGCATGTAAGTTGCTTTGTTTACGTTTGTCAGCTGTTTATCGTTATTTTGACGTATATAACCAAATATAGGTTTTGACCAGAAAGTTATGGATACATTTTTTAAAACTGTATTTTTGCAAAATTCGATGACCTTACACGTTTATGTTGTCATTTCAAAATATGGCTTAGCTTTGGATTAATAATTTATATCAATTTTAATTTTCATTAAAAAAAATACAGATAAATATTATAATGTATACTTCACCAAAAATTTATTCAACCAAACCAATTCATCATATTCAGTAATCAACAACATTTTTCTGGTATATATATTATATATTGACCATGCATGTTTTTAAACAAAGGTGAAAAAATGTTGAAATAATGCCAAAAAATCAAGGATATATGTCCCTGATGTATCCTGTTACAGCTGATCGATATTTTTTAAATGTAATAAAACACTTATTATTTATAGAAATTTACCTGATTTCAACCTCTGATGTAAACAGTTGCTCAATGTATTTATAAATGCTTGCATGGCCCTAGCTAAGATTCAGATGGGATTCAGTTTAAAAATTATTGTTTATGAATAAACATTTTTGACAGATATCTACCAAAAAAGATCAAGGATTGGAAAAAATAACCTTTTATCTATATAAGGAGGAACAAGTTGAAGATTTTACCAACATGGCAGACAAGGATACCCCTGATAGTTTGAATAACTCTCTGGACGGGGAATTCCCTCCTCAGGACCAAGATGATGGGGAACTCAATATGTCAACGGGAAGCTCCATTAGTGATACAGAGACAGAGAAGAAGAAACTGAGGACCGAGTCACCAAGTTCTCCTAGAATCCCTCCAGCATTTATGGTTGCAGGTAAATTGTAAAACTGTTGTCATTTGGTTTTAATGAATATCTTTTTTCATGAGTTCATATTAAGAAGATATGAAAGTTAAAACATGATATTCATTTGGAAATGTGAAATAAAAAGGACCCTTTTATTTACAGCTTTATTTTACATGTTACTGAATGAAATTTCTACAGTGAATACTTTATTTATATAGTCATGTCTTTTTGGAGGGAAGTTGGTGGGGATCAGGAGAGTATACTATTTATCCATTTAAAAGTTTTTTAATGTAATGATTTATAATAATCTATTTGATAATTCTACATTTCAGCATCCCCTCCAAAGTTTCTAAGTTTTGAGCAGTTGATGGAGGCCACAAATGGAGTGAAAAACATGGCACTGGCCCATGAAATTGCTGTCAACAATGAATTCAAGCTGGAAAAGTTCCAAGCACCTGAAGACAGGTAAAAATATACATGTTCATTAAATCATTGAATTTTTTCCATAAAAAAGTAATGAAATAGATCAGATATATGAGAAAAATTGTCAAATTGTGTATCTGACAAGCAAATTCAAAGAATTGTGGTCCCCCAACTTTTAGTGTCATTGGGTTGGATGCCATTATTTGTGGCATATTGTTACTGTCAAATTTCAAGGTCAAGGTCAATAGGCCTCAAATTAGAAAGGTCTTGTCATAGGCCTAATGAACATTTGAAATATGAAAGCCCTTAAAAGCTATATTTTCTCATTCAAAAGTTAATTATGACCAAGGTTAAAGTTTTTATGACAGACAGACGAACTGACAGAAGTACACTGTGAGATAGGTGAAGGAGATTTAACGTCCCCTTGTTTTAACAAATTAAAGCAGAGGACATATAAAACAGGAAATGAAAAAGGATTCAACAATAGCTAAGAGCTGATATAATTGTCTTCTCCCTTATATAATAACAAAGCCTTATCTGATCTATCAACTGTTATTATATGTGTGTTGATAAAGAGACACAAGTACAGAAAACATGTTCACATACAAGCATTAATTTTTATTTTAATATATAGCCTGCTACAGGAAAAATATTTTCTTAAAGTGGTTGACCAACGGCTATCACAATGTATGCATTTTATGGAGTGGTAAAAAAGTGCCTATTTTAAATGCAAAATTTTACTGATATAAAATTTGTCTATCCTTTTTGACAAAGCATGAAATAATAATTTTTATTCAATTACAGCATAGAGAAGAAGGTCAAGGACACAGTCAGAAGAGCATTCTGGGATGCCTTTCAGGAGAAATTGAACGAGGATCCACCTGACTTTTCTCATGCTCTGGTTCTGATAGAGGAGATCAAGGAGGTAAATTCACATGCCATAAAAAGATACAAAGAAAAGTCTGTTGATTTATCTACTACTACATAGTCTGAGATAAGATACAAAAGGGATAATCCCTGCTTTCTAGATAAATATAACAAAGTGTATAGGTTAAGTAGTTATCTAACTGACCATTAAAGATTAAAATTTATTTACTGATAAACACTATACTTTTCATTTTGAAGTTCATCTGTAATTTTGGCCCCAGATCTAATTAATTTAAGTAATGAAAATTTTGTGTGTTATTAAAATGAATAATAAAGCCTTTGATTTTTTTCAGAACATCATGATGCTACTGTTGCCACAGCATGTGAGATTTCGGGCCCAGATCAATGAGGTGCTTGACATAGACTTGATCAGACAGAAGCTTGAAAATGATGCCTTTGATATTTACTACTACTCTAACTATATTATTGGGGTCATGGAGAAACTATGTGCACCTGTCAGAGATGAACAAGTGGCAAAACTGAAAACAGTCAAAGAAGTTGTTCCCCTTTTCCAGTAAGTGTCTTTGTTTTACATGTATCTCCTCTCTTTATTATGGCCTCAGTCACCTCACAACAAATATTGGAATCAATTTACTGTTTTATAAGGGGATGCTGCTCTTAATTCTATTTCTTAGCAAACAAAAGCTTTCTTAAATGATACTGTATGGATTTTATTTTCATTTCAACCTTCCACCCCAAAATGCATGAATGAAAATATGTACATGTATTTCAGCTAGATTTTAAAAATTTCAAATTGTATTGAAAAGAAGGATTAAAAAATGTTTAGTGCATGTAACGTTTTTTGATAATTCACTAGTCAGAACAAAACAACATGATATTGAAAAATTCTCTTTCTCTGTTACAGGGAAATATTTTCTGTTTTGGATCTGATGAAGATGGACATGGCTAATTTCACCATACAACAAATCAGACCATACTGCCAGCAGCAATCGGTGGAGTATGAACGCAAAAAATTCCAAGATTTCCTCAAATCACAACAAGGTAAACGAGGCTCTGTTTAAATATTGTATTATTTACCATATCAAAATATTTTTAACAAAGTTGACAGTTTTCAGAAAAATTTGAAGTCTTAAATTACATTTTGTTTTTAACATTGATATGGATGTACAAAGTATAATACATCTAATATGTAATATCTTGTACAAAGTTAATGGCTTCAAGACCAATGTGCTCCCATCAGTTTAATTTCTGTATACTTTACATGTAGAGATGACGTTCAAGAATTGTATCATAACGCTAGAGCAAGAAGGATATTGGAGGTACACTGTATTTATATTAATTTTTACATGTATTGCTTTATTTTCAGAGGCAGGAATTGATGGTCTGGAGTTTACAAAAGCCTGGCTAAAGAGAAGTCATGATAAGATTACAGATGTGAATGCGGTAGAGGAGGCTATGGCATTGCCTTTAGCAACCCCAGCAGCCATAATGAATGAGGCATACACTGAATTACTGGACTGGGATGAAAAGAATGTAATTCCAGAGGTAATATAACACAATATTTACATTTGCAATTGTTTTCCTTTATATAACACTACTAAAGGCAAGCGTTTTTATAACTGTGTAAATACAAGTATGGGGTCAAGGGGTCATAGATGTGCGTTTGGATAAACGTTCGACGTAATTTCTCTGTGACGTCATAAAGGGTCGACGCGCGTTTAGTGGATTACATACATGCCGTTGGGTTTGAAAAATTAAGGCATTTCACACGTTAAAAGTAACAAACAGGCAAATATAAAGTATGAATAAGTCACAAATGTAAATATAAGTAATAAGGTATCATTTTTTGAGTTTTATTGAGATTAACGGACTGGCACATGATCAAATCTTCCATAAAGCCCTTCGGGCTTTATGGGATGAATTGACCAACCCGTTTTACATCTCAATAAAACTCAAAAAATGATACCTTATTTCTTAATTAAAACATCAGTATACCAATTCATATAAAATTACAACATTTGTTTCAATATAACCAATACTGTCAAATCTTGTTACCTTAAAATCAATTTGACCAAGGAAAAAAACTTTTGAGATATTCAAGAATTCAAGGATAAAATAATGAATATGTGGTTGGATCTTCCATATCATTTTGACATGGTGTTTGAGATACTGAAGTTCAACCATATATTGCTATATTGATGTACATTTATATTCAATAACACTGCTTCTAGTTTTATTTCTTGATAAACGCATCTTTTATTACAGACTTTAGTAATGGACCATGCTAGAATTGCAGAACAGAGGGACAGTGCTCACAGACTAGCCCTGATTTCCTCTGTCCTAATGATCACATACAGTACAGTGGGAGCGTCCATCTCAGGTGTCCAAGCCCTGAAAGAAAAGTTAAAATCTGAGATCTGTACCTTACTAGAGGGAGTTTCCGAGAGGTAAGTTGGGAATAATTTAATGAATTAAGATTGTTTAACAATGTTTGCAATGTTCAGTGTTTTGCTTGGAAATTTTAAAAGTTAAGAATTGATTTAAAAAAATCCAGACAACAAACAAAAAGGCAATTTAAAAAAACATTGATTGACTGAAAAGTAATCATTTTCAGCATTAATATAATGAAAAAAATTACAAAATGTGTATGAAATATGAAAAGTTCTGTAAAGTGAGTTTTCTCCCTTTGACCATTTAAATTCTGCCTTGCTCTGTATTTTCATTTTTTACCTTTTTTTAAAGTGACCTCCCTAAAGCGATGAGTAATGTCGGGGAGCAGGTCAATAAGATGGTGAATGAGTTTCTATCGTCTCATGGGTTCCAGGCTCAGGACGAGGCCCAGCAGAGGTTACTGGTCGGTCAGATCACAGAAATGTCCAGCAGGGACAACAAAGTCTACAAACTCCTATGTAAGTTTCTGTTTTGTATCAAGAGTTTTAATTATAATTCAGAAGAAGAATTCTCCTGAAATGAAAATAAGAAATGAAAGCAATCTAATTTAATATATAAATATGTCTTTTTATATTGTTTTCATTAATTTATTTGTTGTTCTTTTCACAATTGAAAAATAAATTTAAAAACGCAAGAGGAAAAGGTACGTCTATTTTAATTTGATTGACATGAAAGGAATAGGAATTAAAGAATTCTTGTTGCTTCAAAACCTTAATGTTGTACATGTACATGTAACATGAAAACTTAAGAATGTGCACCTATTCTTTGTTTGCTATAATTGTTTGCATTAGAATTTTTTGATTATATATTTCCACTATCCTAAAATATATGTTTTCTTAATTTCAGTTAAAAGGCTGTTGGACTTCATAAGACAAATCATTTCCTCACAACACAAAGAACCACTGAAAGTTCCTCCGGGATTCTCGGCAGTGGAAAAGGAGCTTAGCCAGCTTTGTGGTCAGTTTTTGAGACTGATTTCCTATAACAGATCTGTGTTTGGTTCCTACTATGCAGACATTATAAACACACTACTACAGAAACACATGGCAGACCTGTCTCCAAGGTAACCAGTGATGTCAACATGTCAGGAATGGTGCATCATGGGATTCCGAGTTTGTGTTGCCTGAATGTGAGTGAGAGAGGAAGAAATTTCATTAGAAGTCTCTGGACATTATTTCTTGGGAAAAGAAAAAGAAATGGTGATATTTTCCTAGCTTTTCATGTGAATGGATAGAAATGTATTGTATAGTGGAGTGTTGTTTTATGTCAATGTTATAGGAGTGTGTTTTAAGGGAGATAACTGTCAATTCTTCAGAATATTAAGATTATGTTATTAACTGTTATTGTGAGCATAGAGATACTGGTATAATTTAGTGCTTATAAAAGTGTGTAGTTCTTGTACCACTGTTTGTTTTGCTACACAAAAAGTAATTTTTGCAAGAATTTTTGATTTTGCAATAGAGTATCCATAGTTATTGAGTGCTGTATTCAGTTTGGCATTATGTACTTTAATTTTATAATAGACAGTTGTGCCAATTATTATCTTTCAAACACTTATATACACTTGATGAATAGTATTAACTAGTAGATATTTTTCTTTGTTTTATTTTTTGTTTGTGCTTTTATTAAGCATGTTTTTTTTAAATTACACTTTTTTGAAAAAAAAAGATAACACTATATAGCCTGTAAATTTTTCATTTTTATATTTCTTATAAGGCTAAACAAAGCTTTAAATCTGAATAAATCTCTCTATCATCAGTAGTACCTGGTATTTTACTCCTCTTATTTATTTTTTATATATATTTTAAAACTTTAAGTAATTTGTCTCGAATTTTTTGAAAATCCACACTGCCAATCAAATATGTTAGTGAATTGGAAAATAGGACCATGTTTACTTTACAAACTTTTTTTTTCTTATTACCAGATCGTATGTGGACTTTCTTATTATTCAATGTATTATTTATAGATGTATCAAATCATGTTTCATTGAAAAAAAGGTTTAAGCTGTTAATACAAATGTAGTAACATTTTTGTGCCATCTGTGTGACAAAGTATATGTAATAAAGCATAGACACTATAGTGTATAGACTTTGTGATTTGTTTAACAATGTTGACACTTGTGTATTTTTTTTATATCCAGAATTTTTCACATTTTATTAGCTCACCTCAACGAAGTTGGGGGGAGCTTATGTGATACCCTCGGCGTCGGCGTCGGCGTCCCGGGTTAAGGTTAAGTTTTTTGGAGCAGTTTTCTTTTTAAGTACTTCTATGTCCTATATTGATTAGACATGCATGGAAGATGTTTCTAATGTGTTTCATTGTACCAGTCAAAGTTTCAGATGCTGCAATTTCAGCAAAGGAATGACCAGGTTAATATTTTTGGTGCAGGTTAACATTTTTGGTGCAGTTTTTGGTGTAGGTCTCATTTTAATATAAGCCCTATGGCACTTACATGGATGGTACATCTTAGGATGCATACTACCAGACTTGCTAAATCTGACCTACATTTTCCAGTTGAGTGAATAGATTAAAGTTTTTGGTGCAGGTTTCATTTCCAAGTTTCTATGAGACATATAATGACCAAACTTGCATGGATGGTACATTCTTAGGATGCATAAATGCTTATGCTGAATCTGACCTACATTTTGGTTGATGAACAGGTTATAATTTTTGGTGCACACAAGGTACTATGAACCCTATAATGACTAAACTTGCCTGGATGGTACATAATTCTACCAGACTTGCTTCGGATTTCTGACCTACATTTTCTGGACAAGTAAACAGGTTAAAGTTTATGGTGCAGGATTCATTTCCAAGTAACTTTGAGCCCTATAATGATTTGCATGGATGGTAATTCTTACTAGGCTGGCTTCAGAAATGCTGACCTACATTTTCCTGATTAGTGAAAAGGTTAGTTTTTTATACAGGTTTCATTTCAATATAACTTTGGCATGTTGAACAAACTTGCATGGATGATACATCTTAGGATGCACACTAATGGACTTGCTTCAGATGCTTTTTGACATACATTTTCCAATAGAACGGTAAAAGTTATGGGTGCAGGTCTATCACCAAGAAAAAGGCTTATACAAACCAAAGTTGCACAAATGATGCATCAAGGGATTAAAACTCTCAATCTTGCTTCAGATGCTGGATTTTAATTACATTTTAATATAATGAATAGTTTTAACTTTTTATATAGGTCTATTCCAAAGTATCAAAATTGCATAAATTTTGCATTTTTGGATGTACACTTTTTGTTGGTTAATTGTGTGACTAAATTTGCCTTACAAAAGACAACATTCGTTGAGGTGAGCTCTGTAATCTCTGATTACCTATGTTTAAATTAAGGGAAAAAGAAAGAAACAATGGATTGTCTCCCATATTGGTTTTGAATAGATAACAAGAAATTATGTATTTGATGAAAATATTTTTAATAATTTTATCTATATAAATACCCAAGATACAAAAGAAAATCACTAGATTTAATCACTTGAATCTCCCTGATTTCTGATAAGACTAGCCCAAAAAATTAAGAAATGTACAATTTGAAAAATGACAGTCACTCAAAATTAAAGTGAAATGTAAAATTACAGATAGTTTATTTAATGCTCAAGAGACCTAAAATATCAGTTGGAAGATAATTCAGATATACCAACAACAAACTTATCAACAATAATATTGTAAATAGAACATTCAAATAGCAATGGAAAATTATCCATGGAATAAAAACAAAAATATCACAGCCAGTTTTCTTGTGTATAAAGACAATGTCAATAGTATAAATATGAACACAGCACTATGATTATTTTATTGGTGCACATAAGGTTCCCATGGCAGTGTCAACAATTGAAATTCCACAAACCTCCACATGTATGTAAAGTTTTTAAAGATGAACACAAATTATGCACATTGTTGACACTAAAGTGGCATTTTGAAAAAAAGAAACCATATAATTAGTTGTTTATTATGGTTTTGGTCTTTGACATAAAACTGATTTTTTCTCTCTATGCCTCTGTCTGTTGAGGTGTTTCCCTGGCTTTAGTAGAACCCTCTTTTTCACTTTTCTTACTCTGACGTGAAGCTCTGGAGTAAACTTCTCCTGGATGAGGAGATACTTTTCCTGAACATAATCCGTCCTTGACCCCTGAGCATTCAGCATTTAAGTCCTTGACAATTGTTCCAGCAGCCACACTAGGTTTCCTTCCTCCTTCCCGAGTTGAAGGCACTTCCTCTCTAGGAATCAATGACTTGTCATAAATATTAAAATAAAAAATTCTTATTCTGTTTCCATTCCCACTTGCTATTCTAAGGTCATCAAAGTAGATGCATTTCACATTTCCCCTTTGACCTTTAGTTTGGATGCTTTCTTTCCTGTAGTAAAAAAGGAGATCAATATATACATGTGTACTATGTAATTTATAATTATGAGATAAGAGCATGTTAATAATTTTGTAATTTTTTTCCTTACTGCATTTCCTTGGTGTTAGACATGTATATCTCATGTGCACATTCAGACTAAGATTGCAAGGGACATAACTCTAACCTTTGGAGATCCCAGTATTTGACTAGACCATCTTTTCCAGCACTGACTATAGTTCCTGTCAATTTCTCCTTATCTGTGACCTTTAATCTCACTGTTTCTATCCTGTAAATTTGTGAATTTTTATTTTTTCTTAATTTTAATCCTTCTATCACATTCTTTCATATACACATCAAACATACAGGTATTTATGAAGTGCCAAGCAAGATGAAAAATTTATAACACGTGAAAAAGGACATTTGCCAAAAAAAGGTAACCTGAAATTTTTTTACCTCTTCATGTGGCCTTCAAAAGTCCTGATGAGCTTACATCTATCTGTGTTATATAGACAGATAGTCTCCCCATAACTACAGGCAATCAGCCCCTTACTGTAGCTGACGGCCATGATGGAGGTAGAGGGGCTGGCCCAGATTGTCTGCTTCTTCACCCCCGTCTCTCGGTCCCAGATACGAACCGTCTACAACAGAGAACAATTGTATTAAGGTAGTAGACACATTTTATGGGTAACTAAGTTTCATTGAAGAAAAAGTCCCAAAAATACTTTTAAAGGGCAGCTCCCATCAGCCACATACCTCTGATTACTATTTAAAATAAAAAAAAAAAAAATAGTGGCTCCAACCAGCCGATAACCTTTGGTTTGATCACTCAGGTGATTCAAGCAATCAGAGTGTGTGGCTGATGGGAGCCACTTTTTTGAAAACAAACTAGTGAGTCTTGTTTTCAGAGTCTCTATTCAAGATTTTATAAAAAAAATCATTTATCATGAATTTCCTACAAGAAAACCAAGCATTATTTCCAAAACTATTCCAAAAGAAGTATTTTTATGTTTCAGTCCATTTTTCAATGCAAATGTCCATCTTTATTTCTCAGGCTGTTTTATTTTCAGGCAGTGAGGAGGTACTGCATCTTACCCTGTCAGCAGACCCTGTGATGACTAGAGACCCATCCTCCGACATGTCCACAGCAAAGATGGCCGCATTGTGTCCGATCAGTTCAGTCAGGAGGTGACAACGAGAAATGTCCCACACTTTGGCCTACAGAAAATTCTCATGAAAATAAGTAAGGGGAAGCAAAGTCTAATTCACATGTTTTTCAGACACATTACTCACTGCAGCCCAGCTTTATCTAACATTAGTGTGCAGTAAATATGCTTGATCTAAAAACTTTTACCTTGGAATGCTGTAAAACATTCTTATAGGAAAGTATGCCGGGGCAATTGGATTTGTTATCATTATAATTTGGTTTAAAATCTACAGTAAAACTCAGTTATAACAAAGTCAGTGGGACCTGTGAAATTGCTTCGCTATATCTATAATTTGTTATATTCGTATAAGGAATTCTTTAATTAGATTTATGTAGTTAGGGATCCAAGATAACTTCAATATAATCGTGAATTTGCAATATCAGTCTTTGCACTAAATGTGCTTTACTAAATATTTTAAGTTCATCATATGTTTAAAATTTATTTTAATAATCTTAGATCCACCCACCGTTCTGTCTTGAGAGGCAGAGACCAGGATGTTCTCATGTCGTACCATGGCCCACACTGGACCCTCGTGTGCAATTAACGTCCTACAACACGCCCCTGTCTTCATGTTCCAAACCTTCCAAAGTAAACGGTAAATGTTTATATAACAGTCTCTAGGATTAAGGTGAAGTACAATTCAAGTTTTACATGTATTGAATATATTTTAAAAATAATATTGCCTGACATAAAATTTATGAGGGCAAACAAACTTTTAAATAATTATGAATTTTTACCACAGCTCTTCATACTGAACCATTATTTTAGAGGCGTATCATGTGATATTATACATGCCAAATTCAGACTTTTCCTCTGAAGAACATACATTATGATAGTATGTGTACATTGTGATAATCATATCTTAAAGTCATAATTTAAAATTAAAATTTTCATTCAAAAGAAATTTCCTAATTTAAAAGTTTTTTACATGACCTCCCCTCTCTTAACACACACAAACTTAATATTCCTCTATTGATTTGACCACACAATAAAGTCTTACCTTGATGGTGCCATCATAAGAGCCACTGACCAGTAGGGCCTCGGTGAAGAAGTCCAGGCACCACACCCCCCTGTCATGGCCCCTCAGGGTCTGGAGGAGTTTCCCCGTCTTCATGTCCCACAGCTTGATCAGTTTATCCTGACCCCCACTGGCCAGGGTCCTACCATCAAATATGATCTCCTCCACCCTATAATATGACCACAGTGTTTTATTGAAAAAATATAATATAACAAACTCTATAAATGCATAAAAATAACACAGTGTGTGGTCCATATTGAAATGGTTACTGTGGACAGAGGGACAGCTAGAGAGACAGACAGAGGGATGGACAAACTCGGAGGGAACCTGAAGTTCCCTCTGGTTTCACCTGTAGGGGACTAAAAAAATGATTCCAAGGCACTGTAAAATATTTCCTGTATGTCACTTACTGGTCACTGTGACCTTTAAGGTCAAGGACACGACAGGCCCCACTCTCCCAGTTTTTGGCCAGGTAGACATTATCCCTATATACAGTTTTCCAGTTAGGATTGGAGGGAACAGGCACCTTAATTTCTATGTGTTCACATTTATCTTTCCAAACTTCATTGTTATTGGCAAGAGTATACCAGTTCTTACTGACCTGAAAATGAAAAATGGCAACATCATAATTAAATCATTCAGTTTTTGCCCAGTTGTCATCTAAACATTACCCTTATAGTGGCATTTTTCAAAATTGAATTCCAAAGTTCACAAAAAATTGGTATGTACAGTAAAAATTTATATACCCTAAATTTAAAAATTATCCATTAGATTTTAAAAATATCTTGATGAATTTTCCCAGATTTAATGTACGTCTTTGAAGGATGATCACAAAATACAAAAAGATTCAGTTTTGCATTTAAACTTTGAACTAGCTCACACCATAATTTGGGAATATATTTTCATATAATACAGAAAATCTACAATTTTCTTTGACTGTTGAAAAAAATACCAACATCAATAATATCAGTATATCTTCATTGCTATATTAACTAAAAATCGGAACTTGGCTAATTAAGTGATGTTTATACCCAAAGTCATTAAATCCGGTTTTCTGTATAAAATTTCAAATAAAACCCAAACAATGGAAGACTTGACATTTATAAGGACCTGATAACAGATACGTACACTTGAGCATGTGAGTATTTGGAATGGAGTGAGGTATTTGAGAATCTTTAGGGACACTTTTTCAGGTAAGAGGGAAAGGAAATCCCGATGTTGTCGCACCTGCAAAACAAGATTAACGTACTTTAAGAAAAGCTTGTGTATATTTGTTTTAAATCACTCTTAAATTCTGGTAGAGATAAATCATATAATGGCTGATATATAGCCTTATTCTTTAAAATTTCTTTAAAAATAATTTGTTGAACAATGGAAATTTTTGTTTTAATTGCTCTCAATATTCCTTTAGTAGCTCTTTTCAAATTCTGATATGCATGACATTTTTCAGTACATTTTAATCAGCAAGGTTAAATCAATTTCACATGTGTTTCTTAAATGTTTGACCATTCAATGCGAATATCAAGCTACATTTATAACATTGAAGTCTATGGCCTCTACGTACTGATAAAAAACTGGATATAAAATACTGTTGCCGCGGGTCCAACTTCAGGATGACCTTATGTAGAAATTCATTTCTCTTCACGTCTGCACAAATAGAACAAATATCATTAAACTATCGAAATGGAAAAATAAATATCATCATATCAGAGAATCGTTCTTAAGCTGTTTGATTCCATATCAACAAACGTTTGTATGATTTATCAAAAACAAATATAACTTCCTGATAAAAGAGCTACCTTCACTCATTGAAAAGGACAAAGAGTTAGGAGACAAATTGAAAAGCAATATATTACGTGGCGGGGTAATGTGTGTTTTTGGTGATAATCCAATGGTGTTTCTGATTTGCGAAGAGAGGGGATTATGGGATCAGTTTGGGTCGACCCTGGTCTCCAGGAAGTATTGGGAAAATTTTGAATTTTTTCAAAGTGCAGAGTAATTTCACCTATCAAATTAAAATTGGAATTGGGCAATAAATGTTTTGAAGTGTTACTCAAGATTTCAAGTGTCTAAAGTCAATGAATATGTACACAAACAGAATGTTTCATAAGTTTTCCCAGTCCAAAGTGCATCTGCATTGCTCAAAATCTCCAAAATTCAAGAATATGTGACATTGTAATAAATCACACTCTAAATTAGATTTAAAATTTCCTGTCTTCTGTATTCAATTACTGTTACAAAAATGTAAATTTATGAAATAAACAAAAGCAATTAAAGAAATTGGTGCATTTTAATGCTTACAACAAGGAGAAATTGGAAAAAATTTATTTTAAAAGAGGTATTTATACATGTATTGTATATGAAGTCTCTTTGTTTTAGAGATTTTCTGTGAGGAGTTCTACCAGTTTTAAACAATTTAAACTACAGTCAAACCTTGATGGGGCTGAGAAAATACATCAAGATATCCAAGGATTTGAGATATCCATGATAAAATAATAAAGGTTAGGAATTAAAGCAGTTGAGACCTCCAAGTATTACTTTGACACATCTGCAGTATTCAATATAACTGGTTCTGGATTTCCAAGTTCAACTGTATTACTTAATTAACAATTACCTGTCCAGTCATTCATATACCAGTTGATTATAGTTCTGGCATTTTCATCCAATTCAGATGGCCTCTCATCCTCGGCCTATAGGTGAAAAAAAATCCCAAGAATCCTAATTCATTAGACAAAAATATTTCAGATAATGAATTTCCTCTTCATGTTCAAATATTGAATTCATTTTTTTTGTTATAATTAATCCAGTCTATAACTGGAATAATATTAATTGCTTACATGTATATGTTTGGCACATTTTGCAGGTAGAATACTGAGGGAAACAACATGCTTGACTGGGCGCAGAGCTGATTGGTCGATGGAAGTGAGGCTCTGTAGAGAGTTACTAAGACTGTTGGGATTGCTCTCATTCTGAATGTGACGTTTGATTGGCATTTCCAGAAACCTGCAAGAAGACAATTCAGATACCATATTAACATAGCATAATTAATTCTTGATACACATATGTATTGATGCAGTGAATCATGCACCTTAAAATTTCAAAACATGGTTGATTTGTTTCATACCCTTCACAAGGGAGGATCTTTCCTTTGAACTCAGATGGCTTAGATGAACAATTGATTCAAGACAATATGTATTGAATACCATATAAAACATTTCTTTGTGGTTAAAGGAAAGGCTGCACAGAATACAGAAATTGAAGTCTTGAAGTTTTTTGTTTGAACAACATAATAAACGTTTAACTTTTGTTCTAAAAAAAAATTGAGTTTTCTCCAAGCTCAAAGCTTGCAGAGTTCCCTCACCTGAGAACTGCTTGACTAGAGTGAAGTTTCTCTGGGTTGTGGGCCAGTAAGGGGTGTTTGTTAACTTTGTGTTTGGCCGGCCTCTCTGTTACCCTAGGCTGCTTTATAACTGGGAGGGACTCTCGAGACTTAGGGTCCCTTAATGAACTATGAAGCGAAAAATGTATAAAGAAAATTAAGTTTAGCAAATAAATTTAAAGGCTTCTTTGAAAATTCATTATTTTCAAAGTTAAACATACCCAAAACGTACTATTCCATTTTTCTGTTTACTGAAAATTTTAGATGGAAGAACATGTTAATAGAGCTAGGATTATACAGAGGTTTGAGTTAATAGGATATACAGAGAAACCTGTCTTATCCAACATGCACTAGGACTAAATTATTTTAATGTTGGATTGTGCAAGAATATATGGAAAATTGTAAGTGAGAATGAAAATAAGACTTAATTCAAAAGTCAAATGGACTGCACAGTTATGTTAGATAGGTTTTACTGTACATGTACACAATTACTGCATAACATTTATACCCTGACAGTCATATACAAATTGGAGAAGGAAAAGAGTTTTTATACAGAAGTCATTAAAAATTTGGTCAGTTAATGTTATTGATTGAATTAATCAAGATAGGACTTGGGGTGAAAGGAGCATGCAAATGAAAATGTATTTTACAGTTACTTAAATTCAGTGTTGGGATTTATACAGAAAAGTTATTTCCCCTGATAGAGGAATTTACAAAGAAAAGTTATCCCCCCTTACAGAAGCTATTACCTATATTCTGTGTACACTCTCTGTAATTTTGTGTCCTTCTCAACAGGGATTTCTGGGAATTTAACAGAAGCTTTCTCCTTTGCCTGATTTTTGACATCGTCATCGGACCGAAAATAACCGGACTTGACTCGGTAAAAGTTGTTCTGTCGGTGCAGTATCAGCTTTTGCTGAAACACATTAATTTCAAAATATAGACTTCATTTTTTACAGCATTGGAACAAATGCAGCTACAGTAAAACATACATAAAACAAAAGATCCAGAGACAGACTATTTTGCTTCATTATAAGCTAATTCATTATATCCATGTAAGTTTATATCATATTTTTTCAGTCACAGGAAATGAAAATTACTTAAATGCTTTAAGCGTAAATTCATTATAAGCATGGATGTTGAAAAATGTATGTCTGAGGGATAAAACACTACCAGTATACAGAAATTAATATAAAACATGCATCACCAAGAGATAAAACTTACAATAGCAAATCCTGATTAATATTTAATGCTTTTCAGGGAAACATTACTTGGTTACATTCAAACTGATTTTTCACTGCATGAAGTTTAACTATTTAAATTAATATTTCAAATGCCACCTGAATTGAATGCCATTTCTATATGACATTTTTATTCTGCATTTAATATATTTTTAATAAACACAACAAGTGTTCTACTTAATAGTTTCTTCTGTTTTTAATAAAACAAATACTTCTAAGGGATTATGCCATAGTTGTGCACTCAATACATTTGCTATTATATATACAGACCTGATATAAATGGGTGTGGACTTAAAATATTGTCATTTTCTTTTATCATTGTTGAAAATATTTAAAGGCAATTAAAGTCCTTGAAATTGTATTTTAAATGAAAACAAACATTGAGAACATGTAATTTTACTCCATTATCAAGTTCATAACACAACTGTTTGGGAGGAAAAGTTGAAGTGGCTGGAATTAACATTGAAAACTCAAAGAATTTTGTACTTGAGAAGCATGTTGAAAAGTTAATACCAGAAAATACAATTAGTATGGCCCTGTTTGTCAGGTATAGAATTACCTGAGAATCAAAAAACAAACACATTTAATGTCACAGGATATTCTGAAATCAAGATAAATTGAGAAATTTTAAATAGGGTATAGTTTCCTGATATTTTATCAGACTTCAACTTTGAATAATTTCTTTTCATGTAAACTAGAGAGGACATCTAAGTGAATATAGGCCTGCATTATATGCATTAAAATTTCATTATTACAAAATATTTTTTGCAAGAATTCTTTCCTCAGAAATTTGCATATAAGCACCCCCCCCCCCCCATTTCTCCCATTTTTTAAAATCCTAAATATTGATCAATTCATTCCATACATTTTTCAAGGAGAGAACAAAAAAAAAATCCTATTCAGCATCATTTCAAATGACTACGGAGTCTGCTGGTATAAAAAAAAAACGGTATCTTTTGTGAAATATTGATTTGTAAAAATTTGTCCATTTCATAAGCCTTTATCTTAATCCCTCTATTAATGAATTATATTTCAGAAGCCAATGTAGCAGCAAGACCTCCTCATGTAGAATTAATTTGAAGGCATGTTCCCGAGGGCTGTAAACTTATCTCAAGTTCAATAATCATTACATGATATTCTTTTTGCGGTGGATCAGCTTTTTTCATTGATGCAGGTTGGAATTTCCAATAGTTCTTCTGTCTTCTTCATAATTTGCATTTATTGGTGAAATTGTTTTGTTTTTTTTTTTAATTCATTATGGCATTTTTTTTTTAAATCTGAGGAGAATTAATACACATTATGATCATATTCTTTAAATAATTGACTTGGAGCTTTGATTTCATTAGCAGCATGCATATATTTTCCTAATTAATTTATGTATTTTTGAACACATAAAAAAAAAAATCAATAACATTCCCTAACTTTTTACATCCAAACATACAGACAACAAACTTTCTTGTTTGAGGGATATATTTATGATTAATTTATCATTTATAATTTAATTTTTTTTCACTAGGAAAAATTCAATGAACATACAAGTATTACCAAATTTTTCACATAAAATAAAGATCCACCACCAAAAAGAATAGATCAGTACCTCAAGTTCCCGACTGGTGTGTGTACTGAAGGGTTTGAACTCCATTGAAGGGTACATGCTCTGAGCTGTGTACATAAAGTCACGGTGAAGATGAGGCTGCATTACTGTGTATAGAAACTGGAACTGTGTGTGGTTACTCCGCCTTAAAATCCACTCCAGCAGGTGGCATCTCTGTAAATAAAGATAAAAATGTATAACAGTGTAAAGAAACTGGAACTGTGTGTGGTTACTCTGCCTTGAAATCCACTCCAACAAGTGGAATCTCTGTGGATAAAGAAAAATAGGTATTATATTGTATAGAAACTGGAACTGTGTATGGTTAATCTGCCTTTAAAAATCCACTCCAGAAAGTGGTATCTCTATGAATAAAAATAAATGTGTATCACACTTTATAGAAACATGAACTGTGTGTGGTTAAACTCCACTCAAGTAAGTGGCATATCTGTGGATAAAAATAAATATTAATATATACACTGTACATGTACTTGATTTTGATCATATGATAGCAGATTGGCATCTCTATGGAAGAGATGGGTTTTTACATGTACTTGATTTTGATTATATGAATAGCAGATTAAGTATGAGAAAAATTTCAAAATGAGTTTTGAGACCATAATGGTTTAAGTTATAAGAATTTGCTGAAAGACACTGCATTAATTACAAAACGGTATGTTAAGCTAGCACCTGACAGTGTCTCTATATGAATATAACAACATTCCAAATAATATAATAAGCCATGAATATCAAATTACTATTTCTTCAAAGTATTTGTACTTTAAAAATTCCTTTGATTGCTCAATAAATGTTGCTAATGATCAGTCATAGGAACGATATTGACAAATAATGTTGAGCAAGCCTTCTACTCTTAAAGCAGCATGCACCACTTCAATGTTAAGGCACTTCTCTCACAAATCAATGGTTATCACTGGTATTATGTTAGTTTTCTACTTGTTTAAATAAATCACAATTTCATCCATTGAGTAATTTGTCATTGCTGGCCTTTTGAAAATTTTGTAAATCAATGACAGATTTCCTGCATGATGTAGAAGTTGCAATTGGTTTGCTAATTTGTATTTTAATGGTGCAAAAAATAAGCTAAGGTTTATACTTTGATGGAATTTTCAAAAAATAAGTAAAACTCAGGGTTATCCCTCAGACCTATGGCTATATCCGTAATTCGTTATAACGGAAATTCATTAAATTTATAAAGGGGGATGAAGATGACTTCGCTATATCCTATCAATTCGCTATATCCCTGGTTTTGCTGTAGACGTAAATGACAGGTTATTCTGGTATTTCCCATCAACCCCTATGTTAGGGGAGGAACCCCAATCTTCCTGCTATCTTTGAAATTTACTAGTTTGTATTGTCTCATTCTTCGATATACTTAGGGACAATCCAGAGTCTACATAATAGTTCAATTTTTAAAAGAATTACATGATTAAACATTCTATTAAATTACAATAATCATTTCATATTTAAAAAATTGGGTGAATGACCAAATATATAATGAAATAAATGTATCTTCAATATAATCAAATTAAAAACATTTTTTTTTTACCTTTTTATCATTTTAGGGGAGTGGGGTTGGTGGGTCTTTTGTAAAAAGGGTGAGGGCATTTAAGTTAGAGTCTGAAAAATCTTGTACACCCATTTTTTTTTTTTTTTTTTTTTTTTTTTACATGTACAGCCTTTTAGTAACATTTCACAAACTTGTTGAAGGAAAAACTGACAAACTATAGCTGACAAATCAATTAGGTCTACTGTTTTGTCCTTGTAAAAAGTAAGGAAGAAAATTTATGAAATTCAGGTTTTTTTTTACTCCCTTAAAATGTCAAGCAGTGGTATATAAATGCCCTGTATGGGATCTTGGAGCATTTAAAAGCCAAGATAGCTCCCTAACAGTGTTTATTTATTTCCTTATATGTGGGAAAGCCTTTTAAGAAAATTAATATATCTGTCATTGAAATGCATCCATCAATCATCTGAAAGATTTCAGATTGAAATTCATTGATGATTTCATTTAATTCTTACTTTCCAACTGATATTTGCATGCTGTTCCACTAAATAGAAAAATTTCAGATATTTAGCTTGAATGCAAGCATTTGGAATATTGGATTTTTAATCCTATGCATTATCCTCAATATGTACCAATAAACCATCAATTTTTCTCCATTAATATTGAATAGAAATGTCATAAATATCACTAAATGATCAACTGCTTTGTATATGTAAAGAAATTTAGGTCAAATTATTTTTGCAATCTTTGTAATCATTAAGAAGTAAATTGGGTCTTTAATTTCTCTTTTGGATTAAAAGATATAAATCTATATTGAAAAAGTTAACAAGGTAAAAACAATTTTTTATTCAGCAAAAATATTATTATTCTGGTACAGTATGGTCCTAGTTCTTTTCAGCTGACAGGTAAATTACAGTAATTTCTCTTTCCATGTCAAATCTTATCAGCTATCCAATAAACCATTCAGGTTGAGGTAGAAATTGTTTTTTAATTATTCATCAAAGAATAATCAGAAAAATCTGCTGTCCAAATTTGTCTTATTTTTAACTGGAGCTATAAATACCTTTTTCATATACTGAACTCTGAACTATTCGTAATTATCCAACCCCAACCCCCCATTTCATCAGCGTACGCAACCCCCCCCCCCCAAAAAAAAAAAAAACCAAAAAAAAAAAAACACACACACACACACCCTATTTCATCAGAGCACTCATAGG